CAACTTTATATATATATAAACAGATAGATGAAGTAGTGATGGAGATATATATATATCTCCTTTGATGTATAGAGTACAAACAAATTTTGACATCAAATTTGGGGGTAAAAAAGTGCATCTTAAACACTGAAAAATACACTATATTTACACAAGATGGTTTCCTCTGGAACTGACCTTACCATTGGTACAGGATTCACATGCCTGAAAATTATACTGAAGTAACATATATGGCATATGTGATATACAGTCTCATATCACAGGAATGTATATTTGTGTTTGTGTGTGTGTGTAAGAGAGAACTGAGATGCATCAATATGCCAAATTGTAAAAAAAAAACTGCGATATCAGTATAAAGCAACAGATAAACCATTAAATTATTTGGTTTTGTTAATGTTATTGCTCCAAAGGATCCCTGCATTACCCTCCACCACAAAATTGCACCCATGACAATTTTCATATTCTGAACTCTCCTTTGGATTTCAATGGATCACATGGTATAGTCCAAATAGAGTAACCAAAAGGATTATTGACTTCAGCATCTCAGACTCTTGGTTTACGCAACTTGTGGCAGATATCAGAGATTACAACTCCTACTGTTGAATCTGATCATATACTTCTTGTAACAAACATGACAACACCAGCAAAAAAAAAAAATATCCTGCTTCCAAACACACAAATGGCATCTAGGTATAATATCCAAGCTTTAAAAAATGAAAATGTAAGATTAGAATTTTGTAATAAACTAGAGTTCAAATTAGTGTCCATAACATAGTGGAATCAAGCAATTTTATCTTTGTAAGACAATTTCAAAAATATATACAAATAGGAAAAGATCCTCTTGTGGGACAACAATACCAAGTTGAAAAAAATTGGTACTAGAGAGAAAAAAACAGAAAAAGAAAAATTGAAAGGAGAATACTAAACAACTAACAAATAAAAAAAAAAAAAAAAATTAATGCTCTAAGAAACTAAAAAAATTGGAAACCAAATTAATGAAGCCAAACAGCATACAGAAGGTGTTGAAATATGGAGAAAAGCAAAAAGTCACGACAGCATCCTATAATCAAAACCAAAACGAGATGTTTCGGTTTGAAAAAACACAGAGTCAAATTTCAACTCTGACCATGCTAAGCTGAAGACACCCATGGAATTAGAATATACAACAATATATATCCAAGCAGCATCGCAAGTTGCTGCAAAACCAAAACATTAATGTAAAACTAGTCATGTTCTTAAATAGTCTCATTAGATCATGACTTACATATGGATGCCATGCATGTTGCCAAACTTGTTTAGAAACATCTAAACTGTCAGCTGTAGACAACTGCTCTCTCAGATTGATGGTTAAAAATGGCTTTAAGTGTGTGAAGTATGTAGGCCTCTGTAAAGATTATCTGTCTTCGAGACCTTGTGAACTGGTGTTACAGAATCAAAAAAAAAAAAAAAAAAAAAAAAAAAAATATGCCATTTCAAAAGGCAAGAATTCATCTTTTTCACATCTCAGCTATGCTTTAAATAGTACAGTAGACAAATTTGGATGGCAAACAGTGTAAGAGAAGGATTACTCTGAAATTCAAAACCCTTGAAAGGACAAAAGGAAACCACTCCATTATCTTTCCTCAAGCAGTCATAGCAATTCACATAGTCATGTATAATATCCAAACCCTTAAAAAAAAAAAAAAAAAAAAAAAAAAATTAAAATGTCAGATTAGAATTATGTAACAGAATTTGAACTAATGTTCCTAAATCTCAATCATAAAGGAATCAAATAATGTTAGCCAAATCCCATGAAACAATTCCAAAAATAACTCGATGGAAAAAAAGATCTTCCTGTGGGACAATAATCCTGAGTTGAAAAGAATTGTACCAATTAAACAGAAACCACATCCTTTGAGGACTTTCAACAGCAACAACAATTAAAAAAATAAAAGACATGTAACTCGAAGAGATCATAATAATGACATAATCAAGATGCTGACGTTCCACACTACCTCAAGCATAAAAGGCAAGGAAAGAAACCCCCATCAATAATGGAAAGAGCAATAACAGCTACTGAGCTTGAGAAACTATTTTCCTGAAAAATTGTTTTTTTAAGAGAAAGATTTTATAAATTTCAACTGACAGCAGAACCGATTTATTCGGTCAATGAATGCTAAGCGTTTACCATAACACAAAAAAAATAGCGTCTCTCAATTCATGAAGATTAAATTTCATTTTTTACTGATAAAAAATAGTTGAAATAATAAATCACTTCATTTTGAATGCTATTTTTTATTTTTGATGCATGACTTTTCAATTCTAAAAGGTAACCTCAGAATATGAAGCTCGTTAGAAAAATTAAGATGTAAGGGACGTAATTCAATTTTTGTTCTGCATAAATCGTTTAGAGCGGTAAACTTAATCATACCTGGTTTGATTAGCGTATTGGGCCTACATTTGAGTGAATGGAATTGATAAACATCCGTACAATGCTTAAATTAGGGTGGCGAATAATTATTTAAAGAAAAGATAAACAACTAAATTTAATTAAATAAGATAACCTATCGCCTTTTATTGTGCTAGATTTGCCTTCAATATAGCAATTATTATTCAAACAGTAAAACTAAAAGTAGTTCAATAATTATTAATTATTAATTAATTAGTGATCCGATTGTTCAATGAGGCCCGAGGTGTTTTTGTTATTGTGATGAAACTGCATCACTATTTTTAGTTAATTAGTCAACTTTTTCATTTTTTTCTTTTGTTAGTCAACTGTTTTTAAAATGATCGTCTTCCTCCAGTATTGTGTAAGTAATCAAGCACAATACCCGCCCTCCAAATATCAATTAATTATGCTCCCTTAGTTTTACTTTTAAATTATTAAAAAAAAGTAAAAATTTTTTTTAAAGATCCCAGAAACAAGATGCGGTGTCTTATAGAAATCAATAAAATAGCAATTACCCCATGTATGAAGAACTTTAATTTTTTCCCTCTGAAAAGTTATACATCTTAGAATTGAAATGTCAACTTTTATGATGCTGCTTGTAGTCATCAACACAGATTTTAACTTAGTTGATCACGTGTATGCCCTGTCATCATTGCTGACAAAGTTCTTTTTTTTTTTTTTCAATCTCTCAAAGTACTGATATTGTTTGAGCAGCGCAAATCAGTTAAAAAAAACAAAAAAAAAAAAAACTTGTTTTTTCAAAGCTCTTTAAGAAAAAAAAGAATTTAATTCGTTGAATACAATTTTTGTTTTTTAGAATCATACAAGTGGTGAGGGCCAGCCTAGTCTGGTAGAAGTATGATGATCTAATCTAAAACATGACCATTCTTCGCTACTCGTGACTAAAAAAAAAAAAAAATCCAAAAGGTAGTGTTTCTTTACCTACAAATGAAATACAAGTAACAAACATGTGCTTTTTCAAATGAAAGAAAGAAAGGAAAAAAAAAAAAAAAAAAAAGGAGAGTTTAAAAATCACATGAATTTTAAAGTTTAAATTCATGTGATTTTTTTTTTAAACAAAGTAAACGGCAGTATCTTGTTTTACTGGCCCTAAATATACAAGTTACACAGTTTAAATGAAAATTTGATTCGTTTTTAATTAAGATTTAAGAACGAAAAATTACCTTGAAATTTTGTGTAAAAATTCTCTTTTGTATTTTTTTAGTCATTGCATTGATTTCCCGAAACATTGGTCATATGACTAAAAACAACATTGTTTCTGATGTGAAAAAAAATTAAAGATTCTTAATTTTTTTCTGTAACGCGAAATGTTTCTTCGTAACTTTTTTGTATCATTCATTGTTTTTACAACACAGTCAAACATTTTAAACAACTAAAAAGTATCGGCCAAAAAATCTAGAAGTAGAAACAAAGTTTTTAAAAAAGCATCAACTTTTTAAAAGATTATGCAGATTTTGGTATATTAAAAAATGCGGGTTTTAAATTGTGTTAGTGATGCAGCCATCTCTATGTTTTTAAAATAATTAAAACTTTTTTTTGTAACAAATAATACGACGAAGCAAAAGGAAACAAGTTGTTTCGCGGTCACCGTACACTACAAACACATAATTGTAAAAAGTTCTTTTTAATTTCAATATTAAACAGGTAAAAAAATTGAATTGAGGAACAAAATAATTTGCTACTTTTTAATTTTTATGGACATTAAAAAAAGAAAGCCAAGACCAAGATATTCTGTCTAAAAATATCGATCCAGAGTGAAAAGTAAATATATGAAAATAGGATTTTTTTTAACGTCAAGAGATTGTTATTTTCTTTTTTTACACTAGAAAAATGGATCGAATAATTTTTCGAAAAACAAAACAGTTATCGAGACTATCTTTATTTCGACATAAAAAAAAAAAAAAAAACGATTGCTTTTTTTTCTTCTTGTGCAACTTGTTTATCAATGGGAAATTTAAAAACAATAAAGAATTTTAAAAAGATTCAAGTAAAAGATTTATGTTTTTATTCGCAAATTTCAACAATTAAAAAAAAAAGTCAGCCTAAAACATGAAGTTTTTAGTAACACAGACTTAGCAAGATTAATTATAAGGTAAAGGATTAACTTAACTAACAAGTCTTTTCTAGGATTAACCGGGTGGGAAGGATGATTAAAAAAAATTAATTTGACGTGGACTTGCGATGGAAACTGAAATAAAATAAAAAAAGTGATTTATTTTTCTTAAAAGAGACGTTAAGTGACTTAGTCCCAAGCAAGTGGACTGGAGAGTCTTTTTACTACGAATAAATATTCAACTAAAAAAATTCCAACTTCTCCATTTGCGAGATTTATATAAAAAAAAAAAAAAAGTTTAAAAGTTTGAACAATATTAAAAAGTCGACAATTGTTTTTTTTTTAAACATTTTTTAGTGGCTGTAAAAGAAAATTCTTTAAGTAATGAGATTATTATACATAAAAACAGTTGTGGATGAAATATCTATATCATTATTTATTAAAAAAAACACAAAGAATGAAATAATTAAAAAAAAAAAAAATACAGGACTTTTCTCTTACCTTGAGAACAGGTGTTAGATATCCAGCCACCCCCAGGGCAGTTCCTTTAACAGCATTAATCATACTTTGCATGGTTGCAATGAATTGCTGTCGATTCTTAAAATAAGAATTGATATATGAAGAGGAGACAGTAAATTCAACGGAGACGGAAACGTTATTACTCCAATATTTAATAATAATAGTAGCCAAGGTGAGGAGACATCAAACGAAAAACGGTGTATAGCTAAACCACAATTTCTCTGATCAGGCCTTTTTCTAAATTGACTTTCTTTGCATTTACACCCACGTATATTTACAAACAGATTTCGATAAAATTAAGCAATCAGTTTGAAAATAATGATAATAAAAAATAAAACAAGAAATCACTTTTTTAGCAAATTAAATGTGATCAGAGTTATCCTCGCCTCAGTGGTAAAAAGAAATTAGCTTTTTTTTTACGCTACTTCTGCCCACCTAACTTTTTTTGTGCGTATGCCGTCGACACTGATGTAAAATTAATACAACGAGCAACAAACAGGTTTTCAATTTTAGAAAAGTCAGCAAATAATGTCTATACTCTATATAATGTATGTTATTGTTATAAAAATGTCTATGTCAGAAATAAATGTATTCTTCTCTCTAGAGAGAGACCGACTCACTTTGTAGCGACATTTAGAAAATTCAATGACCAAAGACGAATCAATTTTTTTTCATGACGACAAAAGTATATTCCTCAAACCATATATATCATCTAATAAGCTCCTAAAACGGAGCAATAGTAGGTGCCCGATCAACGCTAAGAATCAAGACTTAGTTCGGAATAATATTAACGTCAGTTGGACTGCCGAAAACCTAAAATGGTGAAACAGTAGTAGTAGTAGTAATAGAACGGTGTACGCTGGTCTCCCCGCCTCCTAAAAACAGCTGCTCCTCCTCCGCTTCTCCTTGTTCTTAAATTTTAGCACTATATAAAATGGTAATAGGTTCTATACGTATTCAACTACTATTAAATAAAACATCTTCCCCCCGAAAAAAAAAACAACAACAGAAGAACTTAAGATGAACTTAGTTTCACTGTCATCCGATGGGGAAACACCTCCACTTTTTTTTTTAATGATTCCGGTTGGTTGAGTTGCCTCCCTTGATACATGTCGTCTGCGAAAAGTACGGTGCATTGTACAGGATATAAATCATTACTTCAGATAACATTTTGTCGTTGGAGTATTAATTGACGCATCAAATAATTTTAACTTATATGTTTCATTTTCTTATGTTGTCATTTTAATTCAGTTATAATAAAATTATGTATAATACTGAATCAAAATAATACACCCAGTGAAAGAGAAGATTTAAAAAAAAGAGTTGTAAGAATGAAAATTGGAAAATCATTAGTTTCAACAGATGTATAAAACGACACTGAGAAGCATCTTATTTTTAAATAAATGTCTTGTTTTGTATTTCTGATACATTATTCTTAAATTTGGAGGATATGTGAGTAATGCCAGTTTGATATCGGCACAGTAAGTAGAATCGGCCAAAATGAGTTCAAATCCTAAGCTAGTCTGCTGCGTTCCCTTTCGTACAAACGTCCTTAACATCATTAATCTGCTTCTTCTGTCACCAACTATCGGTTAAAAAATTATTATACACTGGAATCTCTAATCTTGGGTGGCAACCAGTCTAAGAGAAAGTAAATTCTAAAATCCAAACCGTAGAGAAGGCAACAAAGAATGCATGACAACTAACAACGGATAATACAGAAAATTCTATGGAGACACATGATTGCTTACTCTCTGAAGGAATATGGCATTACAAATTTGTGTCTAACCAATTCAAAACATTTGTATTACCGAATAAAGTGATTGCCTTTATTATTATTATTATCACAGATGACCATCCATACATAATCATGTTAGTGGAAGGGAGTTAACTGTAACGTTAATTTTTTTTATTTTAGCATTTATTTACCAACAAACATTCTTTCTTCTTTTTTTTTGTTTTTTTGTTAATTATATTAAAAAATTCGTAACCTATTCGATAAATTCTCAACAAGTATCTAGTTTATTCATTTAAACATTCTTTCTAGATCTCCAACATAATGTTAATAAAAATAAAACTATGCAAATCCTGAAGAATTGCCATTTTTTATATTTTGTACAGTCTTCATTAAATACTTTTTTTATTCTTTAGCATTAAAAAAATTGGAGGTCAATTTTTGAACAAAAAAGAAATGCATGGAAAATATGGTGAATTGTAGTTGCTTATAATTTTATATTGAAAGATATATGAGTGATCTCCCCTTTGATATTACACGACTCATTCGTCATTCATGCACAAAAAATTATCAATTATTTACATTTAAATGTATTTATATGTGTAATTTCAAATTTAGCACATTTTTTATGTTAATAATGTTAATTACAGAATCAGTCTAAAGTGTTTTATTGTGATTAGGATAGTCTTTGGATTTTGTCAAAGTTTTTTTTTATAATTCCTCAGCTGTAAAGTAAAATTTTCAAAAAAATGTCTTTCAAATTGTTCTGACTATTGTTGCACACTGAGGCTCTTATAGTCAAGAATCTATGATTTTTCAAAAGTTTTAAACTATCATCAAGTATGGTTAATATCAAATTGTTCAACATGAAAATTTCAGTTTTTAAGTTTGGCAATTTTACTATTTTTAAACAATTATTTTCAGTTAATATATTTAAATAATATATTATTTATTGAGTATTCAATAAAAAATAATTTATTTTTACACAATAAATGTTTAATTTTTAACATAAAGTATGTCTTGGTCATACCATTTAATCAAATACTACCCTATAATTACGTTGAATGTATATTACAGTGTAACCCGGATATAAGAGAGTTGTCGGGACCGGAGAAGTCTCTTATATCCGGGTTTCTCTTATATCCGGGTTTGGTCTATTATATATACATTAACACAGGCTCTAATTTGTGACCAGATAAAATCTCTCTTATATCCGGGTTTCTCTTATATCTGGGTCTCTTATATCCGGGTTACACTGTATAAACTAATATTTCAGATCAAACTTTAATAAATCAGGCTACAGGCATACTGATGCACCTTTGAAAATTTTTAGGCAAATATGAAAAACCTTCAAATCATAATTTTTACATTTTATACTTGTATGAATTGAAGCTGGATTACGATAGATATTGAAAGGTAACAAATATAAGATTCCTCTTCAGTGACAATGCTATTAATGAATGAAATGCTAGATTTTTTAAAAGATTGTAAGTGGAGATTTCAGATCAAAAATGCCAAAAGAAACTTGTTTCGGTGTCATTACTCATTGAAGAAAATTTAAATAGTATGGTGGAAAATTATAAAAAGCTTCAGTCATAAAATGATCAAATGCCTCAAGCAGAAAACAATCAAAAGCCTCAGTCAGAAAATGATCAAAAGTCTCACTCTGAAAATGATAAAAAGCCTAAATCAGAAAATGATCAAAAGCCTCAGTCAAAAAATGATCAAAAGTCTCACTCAGAAAACAATCAAAAGCCTCAGTGAGAAAATTATCAAGAAGAGTCTCACTCATAAATTCATAAAAAACCTAAATCAGAAAATGATCAAAAGCCTCAGTCAGAAAATGATCAAGAAGAGTCTCACTCATAAATTCATAAAAAGCCTAAATCAGAAAATGATCAAAAGCCCCAGTCAGAAAATGATCAAAAGTCTCACTCAGAAAACAATCAAAAGCCTCAGTCAGAAAATTATCAATAAGAGTCTCACTCATAAATTCATAAAAAACCTAAATCATAAAATGATCAAAAGCCTCAGTCAGAAAATGATCAAGAAGAGTCTCACTCATAAATTCATAAAAAGCCTAAATCAGAAAATGATCAAAAGCCCCAGTCAGAAAATGATCAAAAGTCTCACTCATAAAATAATAAAAAGCCTTAATCGGAAAATGATCAAAAGCCTCAGTCAGAAAATGATCAAAAGCCTCAGTCAGAAAATGATCAAGAAGAGTCTCACTAAGAAAATGATCAAAAGCCTAAATCAGAAAATGATCAAAAGCCTCAGTCAAAAAGCTCCAATAACCTTTGTCACTATAAACAGTAGTCTCAAGAGATAATGGAGTTTACTATGGTGGCAAGCTAATACCCATTTCAGACACCTGCTTAAGCACTTGTTTGTGTTTCTTCAACACACACAATCAACTTAGTTTATACTGCAACTATGCTGAATGAACCTTAGTTACAGTTTGAGGGAGAAAGCACATAATCTGATAGTTGAACAAGACCTGTATGTTCAAATTCTCAATTACAATGACTTGTTACTTTGTGCCAGCACAACCATTAACAGTTTTGTGATTGAGTGGTTAGAATGTTAACCATGAAAACTATGTTCAAGTCCAATGATAGCCAATTTGTCAGAGATGACTTCTTGATGATATCAGTCCATGAAAAATTTCCCAGCTTGCAGCACCATTGGGAAATGCCTGAAAACCATGGTACAGTTTTTTTTTCAAGCCTTATGAGTGAAATTGAATAGATGAAATTGTTCCTACAATTGATGAAGGAGTATATGTCATTTATAGAGAAAAGATGAGCTAGATATAATAGATTTAGATATATTACAATTAAAAAATGAGTAAATGAATATTGGTGTCAATTTTGGGGTGCTGTCAAAAGATACTGCTTCAATCAAGGAATTTCTAGTTGTCCTGATGTGTAAATAACCATTAGAGATATATTTAGAAAATTTTATTTATATAAACAACAAGAAGTTGTTACTTTCAACAGAGCTTTCTTTTTTGTTTCTTCATTGAATTTTGTAGTGAATCCTGTAAAGGTCATGAGAGGAAGACAGACAATCTGTCTCACTTCATGTCAAGTATAAGACTGCAGCTTCAACATGCTAGAGCCACAGCCTCACCACACTAGGGCCACAGCCTCAGCATACTAGGGCTATGACTTCACCACTCTAGGGTCACTGCTCCACCATGCTAGGGTTACTGCCACACCACACCATGCTAAGGCCATAGACTCAGCACACTAGTACCACAGCCTCACCATCTTAGGGCCACAGCATCACCACACTAGGATCACAG